CTGAACTGGCAAAAAAAGAGGATCTGGAAAAAATGAAATCAGAAATAATTTCTCAGATAACAGCAGAGATTGTGCCCATAGTGCAAGACATGACTAATAAATCTAGAGAGGAGCTGAGGAACATGATGGAATCCCAACATTGGAAACAAATGGAATCCATAAAGCAGATCCAATCAGATATCCAGGAGATTAAAAGCTCCACTGAAAGTCTATGAAGCAGAATGAGCCAATGTGAGGACAGAATTTCAGATATAGAAGATAAGATTGCAATTAGAGACCAGGAAAAGAAAAATTGCTTTAAAATAGTAAGGGACCATGAGAAATCGATCCAGTAGCTGCTAGATGATGCAAAGAAGAATAACATAAGACTGATCAGAGTCAATGAAGAAACAGGAGAGAGTGCAGACAATGTAGAAAAACTGTTCACAGAAGTAATGGCAGAAAACTTCCCTAGCAGGGGAAAAGAACTTGAGGTACAGATAAGTGAGGCATATAGGACTCCAACTAGCCTTGATCAAAAAACAATCTACACATAGGCATATAATTGTTAAGATTCCAGAAACCCAATAGAAGAACAAAGTTCTACAAGCAATTAGAGAAAAGAAACAAAGCACATACAAAGGAAAGTCCATCAGAATCACAGAAGACTTCTCACCACAAACCCTCAAGGCAAGAAGAGCTTGGAGTGATGTATTTCAAGCTCTAAAGGAAAACAGCCTCCAACCCAGACTATCTTTCAAAACTATCTTTCAAAATTGATGGAGAAATAAGATACTTTCATGACAAAGAGCACCCGAGGAACTTCATGAATACCAAACCAGCACTCCAAAAAATTATAGACAATATCCTAGGAAAAGACAACAAGGATCACAACCCCGGGAAGCCCGGGAAGCCCAGGAAAATGAATCCATCAGGCATGACAAGAAATTAAACGCAAAGAGGAGAATCCAACAACAAAAAAAAGTCATGACAATGATAAGTCAATATGTATCAGTTATAACTATCAATGTTAATGATATGAATTCACCAATCAAAAGAAATAGACTGGCAGAATGGGTCAAGAAGCAAGATCCAACAATATGCTGCATACATGAAACACATAATTCAAAAAGAAACTCATAGACTGAAAGTTAAAGGGTGGAAAACAATATTCCATGTGACAGGAAACCGAACAAAAGCAGGAATAGCTATCTTCTTTGCAGATCAAGTGGATTTCAAACCAACACTGATTAAGAGAGATGAAGAAGGACACTACATCCTTGTAAAGGGAACAATCTAAGAGAAAGAGATGACAATCATAAATATCTATGCACCAGCCACTAGTGCATCCAACTATATAAAACAAATCCTAACAGACATGAAGAATCATATGAGCACTAATAAAATAGTAGCAGGGCACTCAGTACCCCATTGTCATAAATAGATCAACTAGACAAAAGGCAAAGAAATCCAAGCACTCAATCAAGCTCTTGAACAAATGAACTTACCAGATGTTTGCAGAGTCTTCCACCCCACTAAATCAGAATACACATTCTTTTCAGCTGCACATGGGTCGTTCTCCAAAGTAGACCACATACTTGCTCATAGAACATGTTTAAGTGCAAAGGAATTGAAGTTATCCCCTGTATATTATCAGAAAATAGTGTGATGAAATTGGAGATCCATAGCAAAAGAAACTCAAAAAATTTCATAAACACGTGGAAATTGAACACACTTCTAAATAACCAGTGAGTCACAGAGGAAATTAAAGAAATCAGACAGTTCCTTCAATTAAATGACAATGACAATACAGCATATCAGAATCTATGGGACAATGAAAGCATTCTTACGGGGGAAATTCATAGCAGTGGATACTCATATTAAGAAAACAAAGCGAGCACAACTAAACAACCTAAGGCTGAACCTCAAGCTTCTAGAGAAAGAAGAGCAAGACAAACCCATATCTCATATAACGGAGGAAATAATAAAGATTGGAGCAGAAATCAATGCAATGGAGACTAAGATAATGATACAAAAAATCAGTGAAGCCAAGAGTTGGTTCTTCAAAAGAATAAAATTGACAAACCCTTAGCCAACCTTATCAGAAAAAGGAAAGAAAAGACCCAAATCCATGCAGTTAGGAATGAAATTGGTGAAATTACAACAGACTCAGCAGAATCAAGAGGATCATCAGTACCTACTTCGAGAACCTATAAGCCAATAAGATGGAAAACACAGAAGAAACAGAAAGATTCCTAGATATGTATGAATTACCAAAGTTGAACGAAGAAGACCTAAATATTCTAAACAACTCAATGAAATTGAAAACATAATTAAAAACTTACCAAGAAAAGCCCACGTACTGATGGCTTCACTGCTGAATTCTTCAAGACATTTAGAGAGGAACTACTGCCACTACTGTTTAAACTCTTCAATGAAATTGAAAGGGAAGCAGTACTCCCAAATTCATTCCTAGAAGCAAGCATCTCCTTGATCCTCAAAGCAGAGAAAGACAACCGAAAAAGGGAACTATAGGCCACTCTCACTAATGAACATAAATGCAAAAATCCTTAATAAAATACTGGAAAATAGAGTGCAGAAGATCATCAAGAAGATCATACACCCTGATCAAGTGGGATTCATCCCAGGGATGCAGGGATCGTTCAATGTATGCAAATCAATAAATGTATTATACTGTATCAGTAGAGCCAAGGACAAAAACCATATGATCATCTCCATAGATGCAGAAAAAGCATTTTACAAAATCCAACACGCATTTATGATAAAAATCCTACAAAAAATTGGAATAAATGGACTCTGCCTCAATCTGATAGAAGACATCTATGAAACACCAACAGCCAGTATCATACTAAATGGTCAAAAACTGAAATCGTTCACACCAAAATCAGGAACAAAACAAGGATGTCCACTATCACCACTCTTGTTCAATATAGTTTTGGAAACATTAGCCACAGCAATTAGACAAGAGAAAGATATAAAAAAAGATAGGATATGAAGAAGTCAAATTGTCATTATTTACAGATGACATGAAACTCTATATAGAAGACCCCTAGAACTTCACCAACAGTCTTCTAGACTTAATAACCAAATTCAGTAAAGTAGCTGGATGCAAGGTCAACACACAAGAATCAATAGCTTTCCTCTACATGAACAACCGACTCACTGAGAGAGAAATAGGGCAAACAATTCCTTTCACAATAGCACCCAAAAAACTGAAATATCCAGGAATCAACCTAACAAAAGAAATCAAAGACCTCTTCTCTGAAAACTATACCACTCTGAAAAGAGAGATCAAAGACAATATCAGAAAATGGACAGACATCTCTTGCTCCTGGTAGGAATGATCAACATAGTGAAAATAGCCATACTTCCAAAACTGTTATATAGATTCAATGCAATCCCAATTAAAATTCCAACAGCATACTTCATGGACCTTGAGAAAAAATCCAAAAATTCATTTGAAACAAGAAGAGACCCAGAGTATCAAAAGGTATTCTACGTAACAGAGCCATGGCAGAGGGTATTACATTTGCCAACTTTCAACTATACTACAAAGCTACTGTGATAAAAACAGCATGGTACTGGCAAAGAAACAGACCTGAGGACCAGTGGAACAGATTACAAGATGCAGAAACAACTCCAGACACACTCAGCCACCTCATCTTTGACAAAGGAGCCAAACACCCTCACTGGAGGAAAGATAGCCTCTTCAATAAATGGTGCTGGAAAAATTGGGTTTCAACTTGCCAAAGATTAAAACTAGACCTATATCTCTCGCCATGCACTAAACTAAAATTGAAATGGATTAATGATCTAAATATTAAAACAGAAACACTGATCCTGCTGGCACAGAGGTTAGGTAGAACTCCTGAAGACATTGGTGTAGGAAAAGATTTTATGCACAAAACCTCAGGTCCCTGTGAACTAGCACAAACAATCAACAAGTGGGATCTCTTCTTATTAAAAAGCTTCTGCACAGTAAGAGAAATCAACACTGTTGAGAGACAACCCACAGTGTTGGGAAA